TACCATGCCTACGTCTTTTCTGGCCACCACCCCTGCCTTGGACCCGTTCGAAACCACCTCTGTCTTGGCCATCTTTTCACCCACTTTGTCTTCTTTGCTTTGCTTCTGGCCGCCAATTGAATTTGGTTTTATTGCATTTATTGTGGTGGCCCGCTGCTGCTTCTGTTGGCTGTTTTCTTGCTGGTTACTGGTTATTGTTAGCCGCTCCACTGCCCTTAGTACATTATCTCTAAATAATTTATGTTTGTATACATTTTAATTTAATTTATTTGTTCATTTCACTTCTTGCTGTGTTGCTGTGTTGCGAATTCTGATATTTGACCAGCAAACAGAAGGCATAAAATACATAGAGAGAGCGATGCGATTGTATGCCAAATGTGTGTGTGTGCCGTGCCAGGTCTGGACAGAGAGGAAAAGCCAATATTGATTGAGTAGCCGCAACGTTGACCCGCTTCAGCAAATAACAAAGATATCGTAAAAAGGTCTCTCGTCTCCCCTTTGTGCGGCTATAATTGCTGATGTTATGTGTTTTTATACTATATACAGATACATTCATACATACATATGTACATATATCGAGATAGTTCTTTTTTATTTCACTCCATTCACATAATGGAAATTGCACATTGGAGATTTTCGCATTCATTCAATTGGTACACATATAAATATATATAAAATTTTCGTGTCTTCAGGTTGTGTTGCTCTTAAAGCTCATCTCTCTTCAGAATCTAGACAAGAATTAGTTGACAAAACTAAAAAGAAAATTGTTCTCTTGCATGCCGAAAAAGAGGAAAGGTGTAAAAAAAGGAGAACGGAAAACTGAGTAGAAAAAAGGACTTTCAAAAAGGCTTTGTCAGTGGGCATGTACATATGTAGATTGGAAGCAGACGCAAATTGAAGAACAACTTCAGCATGTGCACATGCAGAGCTTAATGAGATGAGTTCTGCCAAGTGGCGTGTGTAATGTGGCAGGGGGGGGCAGCATGATGGGCAGGATGGCAATGGCATCCAGTCAAGTCAACGAGGATGGATAATGGGAATGGGCGACGACGACGACGACTGCGACGACTGCGACGACTGCGACGACGGCGGCGGCTGCTTGACTGGCGTCTGGCCTGAACGGGAGGAACAATAAAGCTGGAGGCCATTATCAACGAGGGCCCAGCAAATGTGACAATGCGAATGACACAAAAGCGCAACTGGATTAGCATCTGCCAGTCGTCGGTGTCTCGATTCCCGTTTCCGCTTAGCCTTCTATTCCCTCTTTTTTTCTTTCCTTTTTTTGTTCTCTTCTCCGTTTGAGCGAGTAAGTGTGGGAGTAGCAGTCACATTGTCATGTGTCGTCGTCCTTGCACTGTGGATGGGGTAATTGGAAAATGGATATATCATTGATGTGTGGGGGAACTAACGAGACTACTGGCTGGGGAAATACTGGTACTTGTAAGATAGAAGAAACTGTGTACCGAATATCTTTATGTCGGGGTACGTGTGCCTCTAGCCCACTGTGACTACGATTGGACTGTGGACTTGTGTCTCATTTTGCGCTTTACATTGCAAATTTTACAACACTGGCGCGCGCAATTGTCAAATGCAAATGTAGTCCTGGCTTAAAGAAATAAAAAGGAAACTGCAAGAAAATACTCGCACTCGTACTCGTGCTCTAGTGTAGAGTGCAGAGTGTAGCAGGGGAGAGGAGCAACAAAACATGCATCGAGAACTTCATCTTCATCTCCATCGTGTCGCACTGGTAATGACAAACTTGTTTTTCGAGCACTCACACTCCATCCAGAAAGAGGCATCCAAGTGCGGGGCGGGACGGGTCGGGGTGCGGCGGCAGATCCTTTGCATGCACCCGGGATTATGTATATTTTCGTCTGTTACTCACTTTGCATGTCGCTAGCTTGCCGGGCAAATGGAATTCTGATGTATTGCTGCCTTTGTTTTATTACCCAGCTCAACTATTTATTTGATATGGAATTACTTCGGGTAGTGCTTCTGTTTTAGTCAACATTTTAAAGTTTATGCGTTGGCTATATGGCTATGTGGCTGTGGGTGGCGTGGGTTGTGTGGGGAGGGGATCATATTTTGCACTCTCCGGAAGACATGGTAATTTACATAAACATAAAGTCTGTCGTTGGCCACATCCACATCCTCAGCGTCCTGGACCAGCTGCCAGTTACCGTATGTTTGTTTGCTGTATAGAGCCGCAACTCCAACCGAGTGGAGGCAGAATAAGCCCCGTGGCGGGGCCCATCATCCATTTACTGACCTATCCCAGTGAATCTCATCCTGCTGTGTGGAGTGGTGTGGTTTGGTTTGCTCTGTCCCAAGTTTATGACTTTGCAAATTGTCGTAAACTTGGCAGCGAAGTTTGTGTTACATTCGGATTACGGCAGAGGCAGTGACGGAACGGAACGGAGGTTGCTGCAATGGCACTGCAGATCCTAACCTTAAGTCAGTTTCCATGTCAACAAGCCACAGTGTTAAGTGTTCAGTTTTGGCCAGTGCCAGTGCCAGTAGGAATGCCAAATGGTCGAAGTATCCAATGGTCTGTAAACAAGTTGTCTCCACTCCTGCTGCTGCTTCTGCTGCTTCCACTGCCATCTCATTGGCAATTAGTAATGTCTGGCACTGGCTCCAGCATCCATCCTGCTAACAAGCTCAATTCTCACCCAATTCTGGAAACCCGAATCCCCCATTCAGTGGGAACCGTAATTTATATCGCTTCCCATTTGCTTTACGGTTCCCACTGGTTTCACGCTCGGAAAGTGCACAACATTTCTGGCATTTTGAAAGCGGCTCCAATCATTTCCATATATGTATGTTTCACTGCTCTCCACATGGTTAATTCTTCAACGGATTCAATCTAGTTTCTTTGGCACTCTGTCAAATGCTAAGCTTGTTTGACAGTTTTGTAAGTTTCATTCAGTCAATTTCACGGCCTTGACAGGGATTGCAATATTGAGACGTTGTACGTACCCCCTGTACCCTCTCTCCGCTCCGTGTGTTCCATCCACCCATAACACCCATCGGTGCGGTGCGGTTCGGTTCGGTTCACTCAAACGGAAACTCTTGTGTAGCCGGAAAAAGATGTTGGCTGCCGCTCGCGGAGGCGGCTGCTTGTTAGCGCTGATTTTATGCAGATTTCGACGGTAAATTTATGTAGAGCTCCGCGCGGATACATTGTTGGCAGGATGGGCCGATCCGTGGATAGCCATCCGGATTCCCATTCCAACCAGCAACTCCTCTCCTGCTGGTGATGAAGGCGGAGGCGGTTACAAGTAGCGACAAAGTACACTGAGTGTACGTTTCATTTCAAATTGATTTATGCACGACTTTTCCCTCTCTTTTTCCATCTTTTTCCGCATTTCCTATTTCCCACTTGCACGGAGTTTGGGTGCTCTGTCTGCTTGATTACTTTCGCAATTGGTTGCGTTCCAGCAGCTGACGGTGATGGCAATCAAGGTTACAGGCAGACAGGCACGGCACTGAGAGAGCCAGTCTGTCTGCTCCAAAATGTAGAGCGGGATATACATTGATACTAGTAGCACTCGTACGATTAAGTTAAGACGATGAATAATCAATAATATTGCAGAAAGCAACTAAACAGAAAAATATGAATTAATATAAACCAAAAGACTTCAAACGATGTTTCTGCACTTGAGAAAACGATGTTTTATGCACAAAAATAACACAATTTAATCGATAGTTATTTAGCACAGTGTTCCATCTCTAGCTGGTCAGCTTTTCATACAAAGTTTTATTTTGGAAAATTCGGGCGCTTGCTGATTTTAAGGCGATGCTATTGGACGAGACATTAAGTGTCCAGGACGAACAAGATGAGGCGGATGCCTACACTTCAGAGGAAACTTCTTTGTCACCGCAAGACTCTGGGGCAGAGCGCGACGACCGGGACATGTTTACAGTCTCTTTGTCGTCTTTGGCTGGCCCAGACCTGAATACTCCGATTGTGCTGGGTCCGTATTTGAATGGAGACTACGTATTCTCGGCGGTTTTGCCACCTAGAATGTACGGCCGGGCTGTGGAAACGCATTCACTAGCTCTCGAGGAGTGCTACATCATCGATCCCGCCCGACTTGGCCGTAACCTGTTGACCAAGGCTCGCGCTCTACTGGAGAAGAACCTGCCCGTCACCCTGGAAGAGATTGACAGCCTGGCCCACAAACTTTGCAAGGTGATGAAGTTCTCATGGTGTGTGCCCCAACTGGTTCGACGTCCCATCCATGGCCATCTATTGGTGGCCTACGCTATGGATCGGCTTACCGGAGAATTAATCGGATGTTTTGTAGGGCATATGGAGCCCCACATAAAGTTCGGAACGCGAGACTTAGAGTTCAGCCCGGTGGCACGTGGCATTGTCCCCAACCAAGAACACTATGACCTCGTCTTTACAACCATCTTGGATTTGGTGCGCCTGCTCAGTGAGATTATCGTAGAATAATTGAAAACAGAGTAGAGCGATGAGTAGGTAATGTGAGAGATGAAACAACCAAAAAACCAAAGAAAAGCCAAATGTTTCCAAGCATTTAATAATTTTTTTTACCCTTTTTTTTATATAAATATACATTTTTTTCTGGATAAAATGTCTGTTAAATAAGAATACATAAAGAAATTACCCTAAGCCAATTGTATCATTAGATAAGAGATTTTTTTTTTTATACCCCTGAGAAGAACATCGATGCCTTGAATGGTGATGGTGTGAGGAAAAGCTGATACTAAATAAAAAAAAGCAACAAGCTTTTGTTTTGTTAATTTCTCTGCGTTATCTCGTTTATTCTGATTTCGCTAGCATATGCGTAGCGCGACATTGCAGCTGTGGATTTCATGAGAAGAAAGAAAAGTTGTAGTCCACTCCACTTAATAAATAACATTATTGTTTATTATTTTTCCAATAACATTTTTCTTTATGTATTTTTAACGCTTTGCCATTGGAATTAATTATTTCTATCGATATTGGTTCAGCTCTAGCTGCGCTGCACTTGTTCCATCTCTTATTCAGAGTGTATATGCAAAATTTACGCGTTTATTTCGCAAAAAATTGGTTTCGTTGAGCTGCCGTCATTATGGGAAAATATATTCGCAACATAAGGAATCTAGTAGAGCTGTCAGATGTAGAGGAACCAAACGAATTTGAGGAAGAGTATCATCCCAGTACTGACGAGCCTGAGCACGAGCACGAGGACAATCCTGCAAGGGATCAAATACAGCAGCCTGAAGAGGACAGCGAACCTGAAAGGTATATATATGGTTTTGACATGATGAAAGGCCTGATAAGTGAGGGATTTTCGATGGATGTACCCGTGCTCAGTTCAACCGCTTCTAATGAAAATTTCATTGGCACGTATGAATGGCCAAGACACTTTGGATCGGAGGGCTACATATTCGATGGCATAACATTAGCCCGCTCTATGCTGAACAGACTCGGGGCCGTAGAAACTGCCGAAGCGGTTTGCGACATGGCATACGGACTGACCTGTGCCCTTAATGTGTCATCAACCACTTCATTGATCCCGATCCACGGCCCCCTGGTGATTGCCTGCGTGGCGGATGGTGTGAGCCGCGTCGTTATCGGTTATGGTGTTGGCCAATGTCATCCCCATCCGAACGTCGATGAGAATGGCGACTACATAGGCCAGTCCTGGCACCGGGAGGTGCGAGGCTTTGCAATCGACGATGACGAGGAACGCTGCCGCATCATCACGGAATTCATCAGATGCCTAATGATTGGAATGGAGACTAATCAGAATTATTATAATAATTAAATGATGTATCTAATGCTCAGTAAGAATAATGGAAAGTATAAATAAAGTCTGCTGTTCATTGTATTTTCACTACCATTTTAAGCCATTAACCCCATTAGGCCTTAACTTTTTTGCGACTCCCCTTGGAATTGATTATTTCTTATTGTTAGGGTCGATAGTTCCATCCCTAGCTTGTCAAGCTATGTTCCATCTCCAAATAAATTATATTTGATATTCAAGCAGTATTTATATTCCTCCAACAATAAGTTTACCCCGCTGTAATGGGATACTATTTGCCCTACCTACGCGCTTCTCAAATGGAGCTGTCAGATGCAGAGGTGCCCGCACCTGCAGAAGAACTGATGGGTGGATCTGAAGATGGCATTGGTCAGGACTCTGACGAACAACACGTACCGGAAGAGTACGAGGGATCTGAAACTGACGAAGGATCTGAAAATGACCAGGAATTTGAGCCGGAAATTGTTCAGCAATTCAATTACGAGCCAAATTGGAATGCAATTTCACTGGAAGATATGGTAGAAACGGGATATTCAGTAGATGTGCCACTGCTCGTGCCCAACAGTCCGATTGGGTCGGGCGATATCTGGGGCGCCGGATGTGTGCCCCTTAGATTGAGTGTAGAGAATTCGCCCGATGGACGACTTGAAGACGAGTGCTACATATTCAATTTCTTTGCAATAGCCCGTCATCTGCTGAAAGAAGTCGGAGCCGTGCCAAGTGAGACAGCGGTTTGCGACATTGCATACGCCCTCGGCCGTGCCGTCAATGTACGATCATCGATGTCCCTGACCGAATGTCCGAGGCGCGGCCCCCTGGTGCTTTGCGTCGTTGCGGATCGGGCTGCTGGAGCCGTAATTGGCCTTGGTGTTGGCCAGCTGCAACCCCATCCTGTTGTCGATGACAATGGTGACTACACAGGCTTGGAGTGGCACCCAGAGGTGCGCGGCTTTTCCATCAACGATGATGAGGAACGCCGTCGCATCGTCACCAAATTCATCGCAGACGCTGTCATTCGACTTAATGAACAAAACATTCGATGAAAGATGAGCAAAGCTGAACATTTACCAAAGAGAGAGCGATTGCATGGCGAGAACTTGATGTGTTTAATTAAATTTAACGATTTCATGCAAAGTATTTTGTCTTAATTTAATCCAAGAAACTATGTTTAGCGTGCCAGAGCTATGTGTATGTGCTTGCATTGTAACGATAAGGTTCAGTTTAAAATCTTTAAGCAATATGTGCATAATTCTTCAACAGCAATATGTAGAACACAATGCGCGAACAGAGAGCAAAAGAGAGAGAGAGAGAGAGAGAGAGAGAGAGGGAGAGAGAGAGAGAGGAGCTATGTGGCAGCTCAATCAGTTCCTTTTCAAATATCAAATTTATTGCTAATTAGCGCCAAAGTTCTCCCCACACCCACGCAAAGCAGCACACCACGTGGCATCCAACTCACACTTGCACCCTGCAAATTTGATACCGAACTCGCAAATTAATTACGGGTTCGTTTTGGGTCGCGTTGCGCCCCCCGAAAACCTACTTTTGCCCGTCGAAGCGATTAGCCTATTGGGCGGCTGGGTCCGGGATGCCTGATATATGCACTGCTTATGGATGTGCGAATATATACGAGTATGTATGTATGTCTGTCTCTCTGTCTGTGTGTATATTGCGCTGATGCCAGCATTCTGAGTGGGTCTTGAGTAGGTGTGGGGTTAAGCATATGGGTTGAGTATCCACCTACTACTACTCCTCGCTCTCTATTAGGCGCCATAATTAATAGCAGCTTAACTTATAATTACGGTCGCCGAGACCACAAACAACCAACCGTTTAAGCCTAATAGTTGAGGTAGCCCCTGCCTGATATATATGTATAAATGGGGGAAAGAGCTCTTCTTTGATTTGGGTCTCTGACAAATGGCTAAGCAATATGTGAAGGACGGGACGAAAGGACCGGTCTGCCAAGCAGCATATTCTTTAAGCCAAATGCAAGTAATTGAATACTTGAGGCAAATTAGCAATACCAGGTCGAATAAGGCGCTTACAGCTTAGGCTGTCAGACTTATCAGAGTGTGTGTGGAGGCACTATTATGACTATAATTATCCCCACTGACAGACAGTCAAATGGATTTTGAGTTATTTTCTTTTTATCCACCAAAAAAACGCTCTCTCATATGATGGGGGAAGAATATTCGAATGTACATTCTGTACATTTGACAGACAAAACAATCGCCCGACTGACCCACATTTGCATGTGAGTATATCGTACAAATCCTCCGACCACAAGTCAATCTACAACGACCACAACACAGCTATAACCCAAAGAAATGTAAGAAAGAAAGAGAAACAGATGTGGGTTAAGTTTATTATACCCAATGCTTGTGGGGTATATGGTATCTGTGGAAGGCATGAAGCATTTCTGACTATTATTTTATATTTCTGGGTACACCTTTTTTTACACAGGGTACCATTTAGTCTTAATATCGCAAAAAGAATTCTGATTTGTTTTTCAAAATGCTTTCGTGGCTTTTTTCCGGTTGATATGAGCGACTTTGACTTGTCATTCCTCGACTTCCATCTATTGCAGACTCAAACGCAATGTCGAATGCAATTTACTCAGCTCCAACTTCACATCCACATCCACATTCACACTCACATCTATTCGAAATAGTTGTTTCATTGCCACGAACTTGTTCGCACAGCATTTGGCTTTTAACATGATTAAGCGGCGAATGTGGCAGAGCAATGTGGTGTGGGGGGAACTTCCACTCGTATAAATAAAACTTAAATGTTTATTTGTTTTGTGTTAAATGCTTTCCCAATCGAGGAGTTTTATGCTGGCGAATTTATAGTTTTGTTTGTTTTCATTAGGTTTTTGTGCGACTTTTATTGCTCAATATTTTCCTACTGCCAAATGCCATTATATACATACACACATACATAGTTTTTATTGGCTCGTCCTCGTCCTCGGCATCTACTCTCCCCTCAAACATTAAACATGTCAATTCGGCCTGTACATTAGACAGAACATTTTTTATGGACCTCAAAAAGCCTTTACAACCATGAAAACCTGTAAATGTTGTTTTCTTATTTTATTATATTGAATTTTATTATATTTATAAAAACCAAAACATCTTTTTCGCATATTTTTGCTGTTGCAATTGATGTGGATCGACCCGCAAAATACACACAAAAAACAATTCCAAGTGAATGAATTTAAATTAGTTGTGTATTCAGTGTGTATTCAAATACGAACAAATAAAGAATATACAGAACATTTTAGATACAATGATACAATTAGTATTTGTAACCTTCTCTCTCTGTAGCTCTGAAGATCTTTATATGAATTTAATACTGAACCCATTTCAAGTTTGCCATGCAATCACCAATCATCTATCATCTATTATCATTTCGAGTATCCAAACAAACAGCAATGAAGTATGCTTAATTTCCATATGTAAACTCTCATGTAAATATGTTTTGATATTTATTTTTTGCAGGTGTCGGGCTTGTGACTCTACCTAAACTTTGGATATATACGCTACTCCATATGGCTGTAGGGTAATCAGATTTCATCTATGCCGTGGCCTAGGCCAGAGCCTGGCCCATCGTTTAGCTTGAATTACAAGTCTGTCAATATTTGCCAGCGAATGTGGCAAACCAGCAGCAGCAGCTACAGCAATTTTCGGTGTTTTTGTTGAAAAATAGCCGAACCAACTGAAATTAATCGAAAGCGATTAAAATATTGACACTAATTGAAAGTATGGCAAACAAAAGTGGTGTGTGCTTGCATCGAATTGAAACCGACAAGGAAATGAATTATGTTGCAAGCAACTTGCGACTTTAAGGGCCAGCCCAGAGCAACTTTAAGTTGGATTCGTGTGGATGGATCGATGGGTGGCGAGCTGGGGGGACAGCTAGTGAGATTTATAAGAAGTGAAATTAATGTGGCAGCGCGTCGCGAAACGCAAAACGGGCAAAAAAAAGACAGCAGAAAAGTTGGGGCTGGGCGAGCGGCAAACAAAAAATCTGCACAGCGATGATTGCCAAGGGCATGAGTCGCGGCAGGAGCAGTAGGAGAAGGAGGAGGCCCGTTGGCGGCTTTTTCGCCATCTTCAGCCAAATGCGAATCGAATTTATTTTATTTAGAGCTCCAACATCGTCGTCTTCGTTGGCGTTGTCGTTGTTCGTGCCATATATACGAGAGTGGGAGAAAGGGAAACTTTTCGCGCTTAGTTGCCTTCCAAAAGCACAAAAAACACTCTGCCCACTTTCGTAGATTTCTTTATGCGCTTTCTGTACGCTTTCCACGCTGAACGCTGAAGTTATTTCCAAAGTTTTTCTCACTCTAAGCGACTTTTGGTTCTCCCTGCTGCTGGTCCTGGTCCTGCCAACTTATCGCATTGTGAGGGCCAAAAATTCCGGAAATTGAAATGAAACAGCCAGCAGACGGCAAAGGAGCTGTCTCCAGCTGGTCAAGCAGTGACTCACTGGCGAAGTTATTTCGCCAGATTACAATGGTATTTTACCAGTATCAAAAATAATATCATATATCTAATTACATTTGAAACGGTTAAGAGAAGCAGATCCATGAATGTTGCAAAAAAAAAGCTCAGTTTATACTGAACTGCAGCATCATGAGGTTAATCCTAATTGTATTGCTGGCTATCGTTCTGGAAGTGCTTTCCCAAAAACCTTCCAAAGAGGATGGTAATTAAATTAAATTAAATTATATTTGTTGTGTTGCAAATATTTTTTTCTTTTCTAATTCCCTAGCTTGCGACACTAACCTTCAGAAATCATGGAATGGTAACTATAATAAACGATTTAAATAATATATCGACTCTACAATGAAAATATTACCTGCTTTTTAGAATGCAAAACGAGCCAATGCAAGAAGAATGTCATGAAGGCTTATACAGGCAAGTAAATTAATTATTCTGAAATATAATAAGTACATTTCAAGCATTTCAGAATGTGATCTGGAGTCTTATCCTAACAACTATGACTAATCTTCACATTTGTAATGGTTATTAAATATGATTCGAGTTGAATATCCAATAATATA